CTTGTCATTCAAGGTCTAAGGTAGGAGAACCAACTTCTTGAGCTTGCATTTAAGTTTAATTCTTGCATGGTTCATGGAAGTTTAGAGTTTAAGACAAGAATTGGTTGAAAATGTTGAATTTAGAGCTAAATCATGCATGCATGTGCATATCTTGAAGTTTAAAGTTGTGTTCATGGAAATTCTTGCATGCATGTTTACATTTTGGTTGAAGTCCATGATTTCATCTTGTTTTTGAAAGAATTGGCTCTTAGGAGCATGAATTGGAAGCCTTGAGGTTGATTAAATTCATGTATGTTACATATCCATCATGTTCTTTAAGTTTATTTGAAAAGTGTGTTTAATTGAACTACCTTTGGGCTTTGATTTCTCAAATTGATCTTTGAAACATGTCATATCATGAGTTTACAAGTGTTTTCCAGAAAATTAGCCCAAAAGGATCGAATTTGATGCATTGTAGTTGAGTTTTGAGCTTAAGGTTCGAATCTGGAAATTCCACATTTTGGACTCACGCTCGAGCGGGGAACTCTACGCTCGAGCGTACATACTGGGTTCATGGAGTACGCTCGAGCGGGTAAAATGACACTCGAACGGGAATTTCGTGTATCCAGTACTTTGCCTGTGTTTACAGTCCGCTCGAGCGGGGTAATGCACGCTCGAGCGAGGACTTGTGTCTCACGCTCGAGCGGGTATCGAGCGCCCATCGAGCGTGAATTTCATGCATCCAGCACTTTTACTGTAGCTTGAAGTCCGCTTGAGCGGAGTAATCTACGCTCGAGCGGATTCCTTTTGTCTGCATGTCCGCTCGAGCGGGACCCCTGTTTCAGCAAAATTTTGAAAAGTGTTTTAAAGTGCATCTTTGCATCCTCATTCCATCCTAGGCATTCCTAGGCCATGTTTTAGACTCTATAATGAGGATAAGAGATTAGAAACACACTAAGAGCCAACGAAATAAGTTTTGTACAATTAGAACGTGTGTTTCAAGTGTGCATCTATTATGTGTCGTGTAAGTCACGTGCCACGCCCTGTCTGATCGATCTGCTCTATCTGTCTGTCTCCATGCTCACTGTGAGTAATAACTCTGTAAAGTTATGTTCAACTTAAGTATTTTTTGACTGGTATTATATGATTTGTTTTCTGAAATGTTATCTTAAGAATTATGAATGAATGTTCTATTTTCTAAAAAGTAATTCTGGCACCCTTAGTTCACGTGGCCCTCGCCCGGGGGTAACAATACCGTGGCCAATCTGCATGTGGCCCTCGCCCGGGGGTAACAATACCGCGGCAAATCTGCATGTGGCCCTTGCCTGGGGGTAACAATACCATGGCTACTTGCGTGCAAGTTATGGACCTTTGTGGTCGTTGGTACCAACTATGTATGTGGGTCTCTGGACCAATCTGTTCTGATAGCTAATGGGTGTACCACGTATGATCTTATGAAAAATCTGAATATGCAAACGTATATGAATTTGTTTCTGTTTTGAAGTTTGATTATGCTTTGAATTAAATACTGGATTCTAACTTGTGATGGACATCATTCATATAACTCTTTTACTCAGTTATTATTCACTGGGCTTTCACTCACAGTTTATATTATGTATGTAGGTGAGCCGCACATGACCAGGGCCAGAGTTGACGGCCTCTGTACCGTTTTGTCAGCCAACCCTTGTGCCTCTCGAGGAGGTTCCGATCGAAGTTTAATGCCATGGTTGTTTTTGTATTTCATGCTAGTCTTTGTGTAAGCACTATATAGTCAGATCTTGGGAAGTTCACCTCTGTAAATATTTTGTAAATACTGTGTGTCTGGACTGGCATGTTTATATATATATATAAGTAAGTTTTGAAATGTACTGTCTCATGTACGTTATCACAGCTCATTGGACCTTGCCTATTTTGTATTATTGCTTCCGCAGTGTTAATCTGTTCAGAGACCTTTGGTAATCCACGGATTACTGGCCAGTTACGGTGTTAAACCCATAGGGGTGGGTTTAGGTCGTGACAGAAAAGTTAAACAATGGAAGATTATTTGAGTCAATTCAAAGCCATTTCAGATCAACTTTCTTTAGCTTCACCACCTGTGGATGAAAAAGATTTGATCTTGTTAATTCTCAATGGTTTACCAGATGAATACAATGCTTTTAAAACCATAATTAAGGCCAGATCTGCCCCATTTTCCCTAGAAGAGTTGTTTGCTCTACTTTGTTCTGAATCCATCCATGTTGAGTCTTCTCTTAGACACTCTCAAACTACAAAAATTCCCTTTGCATATTCTACTACTAGAGGCTATAGAGGAGGCTACAGAGGTTCTCAAGGTAGAGGTCACTCCAGAGGTAGAAGTGGCTATAGAGGTAGTTCTTCTTCTCATTCTGGTTCTCAGACTAATTCCTTTCTACTCACGAGAGGTCATCAATATCCTAGAAATCAAATAGGCAAGGCTAATCATTCTACCCTAGATTTTTGGTTCAGAATGGACTCCTCTTATCCAATAGGCCATTCCAGTCCTTCACAGCCACCCAAAGCCTATGTGGCTGCAACATCAGCAGCAACTTCACCATCACCTACTTCCTCATCTGTTTCAAATTGGTTCTTAGACTCCGCAGCTACCAATTATATGACCAATGACCTAAGTAATTTGTCTGCATATCAATCCTATCAAGTCTATGATCAGGTGGCTATTGGTGATGGTTCCACCTTGCCTATCTCACATACTGGTAATGGTTTACTTCTCACTCATAAGTTCTCATTTCTTCTCACCAACATGCTTTATGTTTCTTCCATTTCTTCCAACTTGCTATCAGTTCATCAATTAGCCTTAGACAATCATTGTACTATTATTTTTGATGCACATTCTGTTGTTGTTCAGGACAAGACTACTTAAAGGAGCTATATAGAGGTTCTTATTCTCATGGACTTTATCCTCTTGCATCTTCCACTTGCACAACTTTTTCTCCAGTTTGTTTGTCTTGTTTCACAAAGGCTGGTTCCTCATAGACTTCTTCTCCTGGTTCAACTTCACCTCAAGTTGATTGGCATTCTAGACTTGGGCATCCTTCTTCCAGAAAGCTTCATCATGTTCTTACTCATAGTCATTTGTCTACTAATAAAACTTCCAGTCTATGTGAACATTATTGTGTTTCCAAAAGTCATAAACTACCTTTTAGCTTATCAAATTCCACTGTTAATAAACCTCTAGCTCTAGCTCTTATACACACTGATGTATGGGGTCATTTTTCAGCTTCTTGTTCAAGCTATAAATACTATGTGTTGTTCATTGATGATTTTAGCAAATTCACTTGGATTTTTCCTCTTCATTATAAGAGTGAGGTATTCACTAAATTTTTAGAATTTTAAGTCTTTTGTTGAAACACAATTTACTACCAAATTACAAGTGTTGAGAAGTGACAATGGGGGTGAATATCTTAGCACTCAATTTCAGGAATTTCTCAAACAAAAAAGCATTGAGCATTAATTAACTTGTGCTCACACACCTGTCCAGAATGGTGTAGTAGAGAGAAAACATAGACATTTAATTGAGACAACCATCACTCTTATGCATCAATCTTCATTGCCTTTGATTTATTGGTTTGATGCACTCTCTACTTCTATGTTTTTATCAATAGATTGCTACCCTCAAACTTTCCAACAAAACTCCTTTTGAGGTCTTGTTTCTTCAAAAACCTGATTATCAGTTCTTAAGAACTTTTGGTTGCAGATGTTATCCTTGGCTCAAGCCTTACAACTCTTATAAACTTCAACCTACATCTATTTCATTTGTGTTTATACGCTATCAATCTTCTGTTAAAGGTTATAGGTGTCTTGACCCTAGTACTAACAAGGTGTATATCTCTAGACATGTTGTGTTTCATGAACTTACCTTTCCTTTTCAGTCCTTTCCCTATTCTTCATTCTCACTAGTTCCATATTCCTCTTCTTTGTTTCATTTTACTACTTTATATTATTTCTTCTGGTCTTCTTTTCATGTTCCTCCTACTTGTTCTGTTCTAGCAGCACCTGTCTCTTCTTTTCTCTTCTTGCTCCAGCAACAGTGGTGCTGTCTTCTTCTGCAGCATCACCGCTAGCAACCCAAGCAGTGGTGCTGTCTTCTACTGCTTCACCAACATCAGCAGCTTATATACCTACTGCTGCTCCAACACTTATCATCTTTGCTTCACACCACACTTCACCCCATCTTCCTTTACAGCACTCAGCAGCTCCAATTCCCATTTCTTCTCTGTTTATAAATCTTCTTCATATTTTCTCTTCTAATTCTCACTCCATGCTCACCAGATCCAAAGCCAAACTTCCTTCTACTGCTTGTTTGTTGGCTTCTGCTCATCCTACTGAACCTCAGTATTTTCAAGAAGTATCTTTTTCTCCTGCTTACCAAGCTGCCATGCTTGAGGAATATCAAGCCTTGCAAAACAAGACATTTGGTCTTTAGTTTCTCTTCCAACCACCAAGCAAGCCATTGAATGCAAATAGGTCTTTAGACTAAAAAGAAACTCAGATGGCTCCATAGCTAGATATAAAGCAAGGCTAGTTGCTAAAGGTTTCCTTCAAACTGAAGGGGTAGACTATTATGAAATATTTAGCACTGTTGCTAAATAGCCTACCATTAGAGTTCTTCTATGCCTTGCTCTCACTTATCATTGGCCTATTAAGCAACTTGACATTTCAAATGCCTTTCTTCATGGCCTACTTGAAGAAGAAGTTTATATGCATCAACCACAAGGTTTCATTGATGCTTCTAATCCATCTCTTGTTTGTAAACTTCATAAAGCTCTTTATAGTTTAAAACAAGCTCTAAGAGCTTGGTTCTCCACTTTTTCCTCTTTTCTTCTTTCTCATGATTTTATCCCTAGTCTTTGTGATTCTTCTTTGTTTGTTAGGAAAACTTCTACTTCCATTACCATACTTCTTGTCTATGTTGATGATATTCTTCTTATTGGGAGTGATCCTCTCTATATCTCCACTCTCGTTCAACACATGCATGCTACATTTCTATGAAAGAATTGGGAGTTCTCAATTATTGTATGGGTATCTCTGTATCCTCTTCTTCTTCAAGCTATGTTTTGTCTCAGCACAAGTATGCTTCTGAAATTTTAGCTAAGGCTGGTATGAGTGATTGTAAATCCTATGCCTCTCCCATGGCTACTAAGGTTGTTTCCTCTGATAGTGCTGATTCTCATTTCTCTCAGCCAAGTCTTTACAGAAGCTTAGTGGGAGTCTTTCAATATCTAACCCTTACTCAACCGGATCTTAGTTTTTCTATTAATCATCTCTGCCAATTCCTGCAAAATCCTCTGCAAAGTCATTTTACAGCTCTCAAGAGACTTTTTAGATATGTCAAAGCCACCTTAAGTCATGGCCTTCACTTTACCAGTGGCCCTCTTGTTCTTAATGCCTTCTCAGATTCAGATTGGGCAGGCAATGTTATTGATAGAAGATCTGCTACAGGTTATTGTGTCTTTCTAGGTCCTAACCTTGTTTCTTGGTGTGCTAGAAGCAACCCACAGTCTCTAGATCATCTTCAGAAGCAAAATACAGAGCTTTAGCTCAAGCCTTTGCTGAACTGAACTGACTTGGCATGCTTCTTGTTGAGCTTCATGTGTTTGTCTCTGTACCCACTCTCTGGTGTGATAATATGTCTGCTATAGCCTTGGCACACAATCCAGTTTTTCATGCTAGGACCAAACACATTAAGGTTGACTATCACTATGTCAGAGAAAGAGTGGCTGCCAAGAAGCTTGTCATTTGTCATATTGTTTCCAATGATCATATTGTAGACATTCTTACCCAACCTCTTGCAATCTCTCGATTTCAATATCTTCAAGGCAAACTTCAGGTTCTTTCTTGTCCCCAAAGTTTGAGGGGGAATGATAAGATATATGAACATAAGCCAGAACTAAGCATGCCTAGCTATAAAGCCGCAGCAGCAACCGCAGCAACCGCCATGCCTAGCTATAGAGCAGCAGCAGTTCAGTCAAGGCTGACAGCTGCAGCTGCAGCTCAATCACACAGCAGCAGCAGAGCAGCAGTAGTTCAGTCAAAGCTACATCACACAGCAACTCCAGCTACAGCTCCAACTCCAGCTTCAGAGCTCAATGCAGCCTATAGTTATTAATTTGTTTGAACTATAGTTAGTTCATTGTAAGCATGGTTAGGTTAGGTTAGGCAGTTAAGGTTAGGTAGTTAGATTAGTGGTTACTGTTATAGCATTACATCATATGTCTATATAAGGCATAAAGATCCTTTGTATAACTCATTAAATAAAATTAATCTGAATTTCTTTAGGGGTTGGAGTTTTGGGAGATCTTTGCTTGGGAAAGTGATGGGGTTTGAAAAGGTTGGAGTTTTAGTTTGTTGATGATCGGAAAGAACAAATGAATGGTTTTTGAGCAAAAAAAGAGTTATTTCAACAGATAAAACAAAATAGCCAATTTTTTTCAACTAATCAAATTCATTTCAACAGGTAGGAAAAAAATAAGTTTGGTGAATTTCAACAGATAGAATTCTAACGGATAGATTTTGAACATATAATTTTTAACAGATAGATTTTTTGAACAAGTAATTTCAACAGATAAAAATTTCAACAAATAGATTTTTTGAATAGTTTGAACAGATAGAAATTTCAAATAGATAGAAAAAATAAATAAATAATTTGAAGGAAAAAATTGGAAATAATAAAATATTTTCCAAAACAACAAAAAAACTTCTCACCAAACTATTTTACAAAGCATAGACTTCTCACAAATAAAAAATATTTATTAGATCTAATCTAACACCTTACACAATTGTTAGATTGAATTTTTTAATAATTTTTTTTTCTAATAATAATAATTTGAGTGTCGCATCAATTGACAAAGATAATTAAAAAATTTTATTTGTTTATATACTCCGTATTAAAAAATTATTAGGTGCTTCTATGACAATGTTACTATAATTGATGCACTTTTGTCTTTTGAATTATAAAGTTAAAAGTGATAGCCTCCTTACATAGATGAGTTATGCTAGAAATACAAAATATTTTTACAAATAAAAGACCCACGTAAGTAGGGTTCACATGTGAAACTCATATTTTGTGTACAGGTATGGGTTCGTTTGGAAATTTTTCTATTTTAGTTAATTTTTTTGATTATTTTAATCTGGTTATAAAAGTTATGTTGAAAATGATAATTGACTTTTTTTTTAATTTTTTATTTATAATTAATTCGAAAGTTGTGAAAAAAAAAAGTAAAATGATTATAATTTGGATATGACATTTTATCTTATCAACAATTTTAGCTTATTTTATTTTTTATTTTAGTCATTTTTTAATTTTTAATTTATTTTTTTACAAAAGTATTTGTCGTGGGTACGTGAGGCTTGTTTTATACATCAAATAATTATTATACATAAATCTTAAAATGACCTTAATAGAGAGTAGGAAATATAACTTCAGTTATCCTTTTAAAGAAAGTATAGACGCTAACTAATTGGGCAATGTTACTTGATTGACTGTTTTAGATTTAGAAAAATATTTGAGATTTCCAAAAAAAACTTTTGCGACTTGACTTATGATGATGTGGTGTATGATAGATGTTTTTGTTAGATATCCAAATGATATAGTGTTAGATAATGTCTCAATGGGATCACATAATTAAATGTGGTGTTATCATTTATAAGAAGCCTACAATTTAAGTGATTCAATTTAGTTAATAGGCTTAAGGGTATATGTGTTATGGCCCTAATGTGTAGATACTAGTTGTATAATTTCTATTTCTATGAGGGGCAGAAATAGAAATTAAAACATATTGGTTAAAATTGATTTTCATTACCTTTCAGTTTTAAAACCAATAATGGTTAATTTATTGATTTTCATTACCTTTCAGTTTTAAAACCAATAATAGTTAATTTATTAGTTTTCATTACCTTTCAGTTATGAAAACCAATTACAACCTTTAAAAGGTTATGGTCCCTATTCCTTCCCAAGGTGAAAAAATAAGAATACTGTTTTGTTTTTCTAAATCCTCTCAAGGAGAAACATAAGGCACCAAAGTGAAAGGATTAGAAGGCTCTAACAAAGTCAATATTAAGGTTTTATTGACAATCAGACGCTTCCGTTTAACCGTTCATCAATAGATTCAAGTATGTCATTTTGTCTTGATTTCTTGATAATACACATGGTAAATGATCCAAAGTGTAAGGTTTATGTTCTGAAATTTATGTTTACATATAGAACTCAACTTTCTTACTATATTATTGTGAATAAATTTATAAATTTAAAATTATGTGTTTTTGGCACTCCTCTTAAATTTAAGTATATCCTTTTGTTTCTAACTTTTTGAGCTTATTGCAATGATAATTGAGCATGCATGAAGATTTGTGAATTGTGAGGCTGATATTTTTTTTGGCAAGTAAAAAAATTGTGAGGTTGATTACTACATACGGCAAGTAGATAGGGAACATAGCATCATCAGTCTTATCAAACCTTCTAGTCCAAGTTCAATTTGTCAAAAAAATAACGAAGTGTTAGTTTTATGGGGCTCACATATGTTTAGGACCGTTAACATTTGTTGTGACTCCTATATAGTGGGTTAGCTTAATAATTAAGTTAATTCTATTTTTTAAAATGGTGCTCGGGTCAAAAATTTAATTTTAAATTTTACTTGGTGAGAGACTCAGGTGTTGAATTAGCTTGTTCATAAGGATTTAAATGACAAAAATACCTTCCATATATATATGATATACACTTTCAAAAAATAAAATTGGTTCTCTCTGTCTCCTCCTCCTCCTCTCCCTCTCACTCTTTGCCTCTCTCTCCATCGCAGCCGATGAGCTCCGCCACAACTCCATTTTCGATCTCAACAACCCTACCCGCCTCTCTCATTTCTCTCATTCTTCCTCTCGACGCCACAACACAACAAATCACCATTGTATGCGGCGCAATCGAGTAGCCACCTCACCGGACCCCCCAGTCCCCTACAGGCTGGATCGAGAACGAGCGAGACTTCTATCGTCACCATGATAGAGAATCTAGATCTATTCATTAGCATCATTGATATATATATATATATATTTGTTTGATGTCTCTCTCTCTTTCTCTCTAGATCTGAGTTTTGTAAGAGTTGTTGTTATTGTTGATGATGATGATGAAACTTTGCAATAGAGTATTTTTTTTTTTTTAATTTCCTAATGATGAAACTTTGCAATATATTAGCTTTTTTTTTTTAATTTCCTTCCACTTTCTTTTTCTTATGGATAGAACGAGAAAGATTAGATTTGTTTGAACAGATCAAATTTCTTGAAACAGATAAAAAAATGCTATTTTAACAAATAAAAATTAATATTTTTACACCTATCTGTTAAAATTGCTATTTTAATAGATAAAAAAAAATTGTAGAGATAAAATTTGAATAGAACAAAATTGAACAGTTGGGTAAAAATTTAGATCAGGTGGTAAATTTCAATAGATAATAAAATTGTAAACAGATAAGTGGAAAATATTTGAATAGATAGAAAAAAAAAATTGACCAGATGGATATAAATTTAAATAGATAATTTTTTTTTTTAACAGATATAAATTTGAACAGATAAACATATATATTTGAATAGTTAGTCAACGAAAAGTTAACAGATAAAAAAAATTCAACAATTAAATTAAGGGGTAAAATTAAAAACAAAATGTTCTCTAAGACTTCTTATCAAATTATTTTGGAAATAATGGACCTCTTACCAACAAATAAATAAACAACTTGACCTAATGAGTTAAACAATTATTAGAGTGGATTTTTTTACCAATATACTCTTTTTAAAGTACAATTATAATTATAAAATCTAAATTGATACTAATGCCTCGCTTGGCAAGTGCCTTTTTTAGCCAAAAAGTTAAAAAGTTACTAAAAAAATCAAAAAGCTAACAATCTATACAAAAAAGTCAAAGATTTCATTTTCTTTCTACTTTTTACACATCTTTTCGTAAAAAGCAAAAAAAGTCATCCCAAATATACTACTTTTTTTTATATCATATTTTAGCTAAAAATTTTAAAAATTACTAAAAAAACCTGTTTTCAAACAAGGCCTAAGAAACAAATTACAAAAGTGTAATTTGTCCAAAATTTGGTGATAGAATCCAATAAGATAAGAATTAAAGACGTCTACATAAAATATGAATATCTTAAGGTGTCAACCCCCATTTATAAATTATAACTGTCAATTGAGAAGCATGCTGTTATATGACAGGTATTGAAACCGTGCCACTATGGTTTAGGTAATCATATCATTTTGTCCCAAAAAAAAAAAAAGAAGGGTAAATCATATCAGATGTAATGATTTTTGAATATTTTATTTATGTGAAACATTAATCATTATTATAATTTATGATCGTAGTGTGGTTGTGGTTTCACGAAGTTTAAATCATTTAAAATTTAGGTTTTATTTGAGAAGTAGATTAATTTTTTACCTTTTTAATATTTTATTATTTTAATTTGGAGTTAAAAAGTCTCGTTTGGAAAAGTGTTTTCGATTTTTTTGATTTTTTTGTAAGAAAAAGAATGTAATGATTATGAGTTACATG